TGTCCCACCATGATGGACTCCTATTCCTCTGGAACCACAATCCAAAACAAAACCTCTCCATCCAGAGTTGCTTTTGATCATGATATTTTATCCCTGCAACAGAAAAGTAACTAACACACTTTCTATTGTCCTTTCAAAAATATGTAGAGCCCTGTGGTTGGTAGTCAAAGATGTTGCATTATTTCCTTTTCTCCTTGGAGATGCATTCCACTTCTTCCTTAAAAAAACATATACATACATGTGTATATATATAAATATATATATACATACACACACATATATATGAATCATATATGTGTGTGTGTATATGATTGAAAATCTTTCATTGACCATGGTATCATATTGCATCAAAAAGAGGTAGAGAAATTGAAATTAGCTAACTTTCTGTAAACATAAGGCTCCCTGTTACAGTTTTTGCATTCAATATTCTTTCAATTTTTTTACACTTAAAAATTAAAATGTAAGCTGGGTGGTAGTGGTGTGCACTTTTAATTCCAGCACTTGTAAGGCAAAGGCAGGCAGATCTCTGTGAGTTCGAGGTCAGCCTGGTCTACAGAGCTAGTTACAGAACAGCCAAGGCTACATACCCTGTTTTGAAAAAACCAAAAAAGAAAAAAATTTAAAATGTATACATGGATTAAAAACATGTATATATGTGTAGTCAATGATCACGGCAATTAACATTTCTATTTCCTCGAACATTTATCATTTCCATGTGTTGAAAACCTCTGAACTCTTCTGGTTATTTTGGGATATGTTATTAATTCTAGACTGTTAATTACATTACTGTGCTATACATCAGTAGAACAAATTCCATCCATCTACCTACCTGCATCTTGGTACCTCTTATTTAACCTCCTTTCTCCTTCCTCCCTCTCCCCTTCTTAATCTCTAGTGACCACTGTCTCATTACAGAAATTATTAATGTATAATTGAGCAAAACAATGTACTCACATTATGAGCTTTTCAAAGTAATTAAAATCATATTGGAAGTATACCCTTTGGAAAGACAGATAATTGGAGGAGTGTGGTGTCTGTTACAGAGGCTCTCTGGATCCCCACATGTCAATGTACTCCTGGAGGGTGTCCATCTACAGGAGGATGCTAGCAAAAGGCAGCAGCAGAGACATATCTGTGAGAGAAAGGAGAGGCAGCAAGAGGGCTCTGGCCTCCTCTGGTTGTCCTCTCTGGACTAAGATAGAATACATATAAATGCTCATGTCTGCAAATGGATTCAACATATGCCAAGAAGGCTATTCATAACGTTTGAAGAGGTTCAAAACCACCCAGCTATGCAGGCCCACGTGGGAGACTGGTGGACATACTCTTGATTCTTCCACTTGAAAGTAGTTGGCATAAGCTACTTCACAGGAACAGAGACCTAAGTGTGTCTGGGTTGTCAGCAGATTTTAAGAGGCAGAACCATTTTGTTTTTTATTTTTAAACTATGGAATAAGTTGTAATGGATATTGCCACTAATTTCCCTAAAACAAATAAAAACTTACATCCTGAAAAAAATGAGATGAATATTCTGTTATCTGCCACTATCACAAGATTGTTAGGGCTATCACCTGTTCTCTTCCGAGGACCAATTGACTGACACTTCACTGATTGGAATGGAAGTCAATTTAACAAGGGCAACTTCGCAAATCCTCATTGCATGCTGGTCACACACAGCGAGCTGTTGTTTTATTCCAGTCTGCTGGTCACAAAGGGCAATGCTATACTATGGCAATGACTTCTAGATTCCCGGGGCTTCATATAAAAATTGTGACTTTTAAATGTTTTAATTTGAATTTTTATATTTTTGAGAATTTCACATTTGAGTGCACATCTATTACATATGTATGTTTAAGTAAGCATATAAAATAATGTTTCCTTATGACTTTTTTAAACATTCTTAGTGATTTTTATCTCCTTTTCTGTAGTACTTCCTTTCCCCACCCTGGATAAAGCACTCCCCATTTCCCCCCTCAGCACCTGCATCCTACAATTACATTCTACATCCAGAACCAGCTAGTGGGAGGTTCACAAGGTCACCACAGGGTTCTGGATTGATGGGTGCTTCTCCATTTTGTAGCTATACCATTTGAATTTCATGGTAGAAGAAGAGACAGAAGAATTGCATTTAAAAAAAAAGTAACCTTGGGCTGGAGAGATGGCTCAGTGGTTAAGAGCAGTGTCTGTTCTTTCAGAGGACCTGGGTTCAATTCCCAGCACCCACATGGCAGCTCACAACCATCTGTAATTCCAGTCCAGGGGATCTGACACCATCACACAAATGCACATAAAATCGCTCTCTTCTGGTCCCCATGTGCACTGTATGCATGTGGTGCACAGACACACACAGGCAAGACATCCATACACTCAAAAAAAAAACCCTCAGAAGATTAAAATAATATATAAAAATCTTAAAGTAATCTTTCTAGAAGCGACACCTGTCATTTCTACCGACACTTTATTAGTTAGAACTTGTACAAAAGATGTATCCAAAGGTAGAGTGGTTGGGAAGTTCACTGAGTGTCATTTTATAAACAGCATTGGTCAATTCAGGGGAAAATGATAACTAAGAGCTGTTGTTTAGTAGTCATTCGATAAAGTTATATTAATTGCAAAAATGATGACATATGTTAAAACAAGCATGAGTGACTATGCTGGCCCCAATGACCACTCAATTAAGTCGTAATGTGTGTGTGTGTGTGTGTGTGTGTGTGTGTGTGTGTGTGTGTGTGTGTGTGTGTGTGTGAAGAAACAGCCTCAGTGAGAGTTTCCTATAGTTTACAGAGCTCATAGGTATTAGATGTGAGCTGCAGAGGAATGTGAGTGAAGGGCCATTAGCATAGATCAGGGTGTGTGGTAGCTGAGTGATGGTCTGCCCAAATGCAAGCCAGTATCCTAATCCACAGAGCATGTGGGTGTAACTTGGAAAATGGGCATTTGCAGATGTAGCTACTTTAAGGATCTTGAGATGAAGAAATCAACTTGGATTATCCAATGACCCTTAAATCCAATGGCAAGTGTCTTTATTAGAGTACAGCAGAAGGAGATTTGGTGATTAAGGGAGAAGGCAGTGTGACCAGAGTCATGTGGCCACAAGCCAAGGAATACTGCTGACCACCAGAAGCTAGAAGAAGAGAAGACTGGGTCTTCTCTAGAGCCCCAGCAGGACACATGACCCTGCCTGCTTTATAAGTTGTAGTCATCAAAGAAGGAAGAACACATTACTGTTGTTTGAACCCCCTGGTTAGTGACCACTTTGTATAAAAGCCTTGGGAAATGAGTTCACATAGGAGTGGCCTCCTCTTTATTTTTAGGTTCTATAAAATGATGATACTCAGTATTTCAACATTCTAAGCGAGCAAAAAGGCGATGCATTGCCCTGACACATCATTTAAGGGTTGATGGAGGAAGGAGTCCCACTATATATAACAAGGAGCAGGGCTTTGATTATAGGGCTTGAACCTTGCCTGTCCACTTGGGGGGCTAGGGAAGAACCAACAGAAAGCTGCTCTCTCTGTAACTAATGATGGGTCTGTAGTTGCTGTGAACCAGCAGGACCGGAAGTGTGAAAAAAGCCAATGAGAGGTGGGAACAATCATGGTCAAAATGAATGGAAAGCTACGAAGGCGCTACAATCCCTATTCATTTCTCATCTCTTTGGACTTCGACGCTGAAAAAAAGCTGGAATCTTTCTGCAACGCTGGCTACATGTTTCACTCAGGACTCCATAGCTGGAGGAGAAAGGAGAAGGAGCGGGGTTCCCTGAGAAGGATGCACTGGTTTATGGATGACAGTGTGGACACGGATTTCACAGCATAAAGGCTGCTGCTTTGCCTCCACCACTCAAATTTCCCCAGAGATCTGTTGTAGGCATCTGTGACCCGGGGTCATGGGAAGAAGAGAATTCTGAAGAAGAAGGCCCCGGCAGCTAAATTGACCAGTGAAGGACTGGCGCTTCAGCCAGGCACCGTGGGTGAGTGAGGACATAACGGTGCTTTTGGGCTTGAATCACCGTTCAGGGAATGGTTGAGGTTTTTGGTCTTGTTGCTGTGACAAAACATCCATCAAATGCAATGGAAGGAAGGAAAGATGAATTCTGATTCACAGTCTGAGGGTTCAGCCCATCATGGTGGGCGAGGTACGGCTGCAGGAGTCTGAGGCTGCTGGTCACAGCATCAGGAGTCAGGAAGCAGAGAGAGATGAGTCCTGCTCCTCCAGTCTTCTCCTTCTCACTCAGTTAGGGTCCCCAGCCCACAGCATGGTGAGGCCCACAGTTAAGGTGGGTCTTTCCCACACCAATTAACCTAATTTAATCCATCTGTCACAGCATGCGTAGAGAATTACATCTTCTGTGATCAGCTTCTGTCAAGTCGACAAAACTGACCATCAAAGGGAATTTCTGCAAGTGGGTGGTAAGTTGAGGCTAAGTGGTTGTCAGGTGGGCAGAGGATACCTTGAGGCTTAGCGTCTGTCCTCCCTGGCAAAGCAATGGTGACCTAGTCCCTATGACTGGGATGTAGCTGCCTACAAACCAGAGTGCCTGCTTGGTGGCCTGGATCCCATACCTACAGTCCGACAGGAAGAAAGTTGAAGAAAAACTGACCTCTTCTTCTAGCTCCCCAAGGGAGCTACTGCCAGCGTTTTGGTGGAACCCTCTGTTGTCTTTTTCCTAATTCAAGAATTCACATCTTAAAAAAAGAGAGAACCATACATTATCGATATGTTGTAACTGTTTTTTCCTCATCACTAATATTTCTCTGTAGTATTATTTATGCCAGTTGGATTTTCTTACGTTGATCTGCCCTAGTTTATATGTGGAGTGGCTCAGGGACAGGTAGAAGCTGGGCTTCAAACCCCACACTTACTGTCTGTGAAAACACAGGCCCGTGAATAAACCTTTCTGGTTTTGTTTTCTCCCTTGTAATATGGGAACAGAATCATGTCGCAGGGCTGAGCTAAAGAGCAAGCAACGTCACACGCATAAGACACAAGGACACAAATAATTCTGAAATGTTTTTATTTAACCGGCATTTTGTTATTTAGATTATTTTCGGGTTTTCTCAGTTACATAAATACACTGCAATTAACTTATTCACTGCACTCTTGTTTCCAAAGGAATAGAATCTTGTTTCCAAAGAGTAGAATCTTGTCCAGAGTAAGCTATACATAGTAGACACTGAGTGTCCATATGTACAAAGCACTGTGTAGAGGAGAGAGCACAGTTCACTCTCTTAAGATGTAGGAAGTGGGGTGTGTGTGTGTGTGTGTGTGTGTGTGTGTGTGTGTGTGTGTACGCGCACATGTGTGTGGGGGAATGGGGTGGCATGTGCACAGGTCCACTGCTGTGTGGCAGGCCCCGCACAGGGAAAGACGTGGGGAGCAGGAGAAGAGAGAACATTTGTAGCTAGGGTCAAAGCTGTGAGGGAGAGAGAGGCATGCTGCTCCTTCTGCTCCCGCACCTCCCACACCCCACATCACAATTCTAAATGGTCCCTGGTGGGTGGAGAATTTGTTACCTTGCAGAAGAACATCCAGGACCGGGTTCCAAAGTTAGAAAGTGGGATATGGGCGTACTTTGAAGACCAAATATTTAGGAAGTGACTTTTTCTGGAAAGGAAAGAACACATTAACAGCTGAAAAGAGAGGTGAAGTGAAAAACGAAAGTGAAGCAGTGTGGAGGGAATGTTTGCCTGTTAGGTTTCTACACCGCCTACTTACGGAAAAGTCAGGCTGTCGAACCTGTGACCCCCAACACCCAAGTGCTTCGTTCTCAGCTCCATGGTATTTTGTGAAGCACATTTTGCAGTCAGTTCTCGAAACTCTACCGCCTGCCATGTCACCCTTGGCCATCCTCTCAGCAGAGAGCAGGATAATACAAGAAACATGCATTTGGTGTCAGATTCTCCTGGACTAAGTCCCAGTTGGGTGCCCCTGGCCATGGAACATGGGTTTTAGTTTCCGCCATCTGCAAAATAGAGGCAATAATTCCGACCTTACGATGTAGCAGTGAGCAGTCAGTGAGGCGATGCCTGTAGAGCATTACTCCATGGCTGGCACAAAGTATGTGACAATATTAGCCATCACTCTTCTTGTGCTACAGGGCGCAATGGAAATGCAAACCAATTTTATTATTGGCTTATGCAATCAGCTACACTCGCCCTTGAAATGCAGTCCAATAATCTCCCTAAATGGGGCTGTGTAATTTCTAATTTTCTTCCTCAGACGGAGGTTGAAAGTTGGGTAATCACATACCAGGATGGCAAAGATACACCCTTTAGAACAATAACAGCAACAACAAACAATTAGATCACTATTGACATAGAATCAAGATGATAGAGTTTAAGACCTACCCTGGGGGGTCTTGCATTTTAATCTGGTGCCAAAACCACTGCACAAAGGGAAAGGAGCAGTGGTAAGGGTTTAGGCCTCAAGCAGTGGCCAGGAGGCAATTTGAGATGATGCAGTGAATGGTATTCCTGAAGCTTCTGGGACACTCATTCATTCATTCATTCACTCAGCATGAATGTATTAGGTACCTGCTACCTGCCATATATCGCTCTATATACTGATGAACAAAATGGACAAGACATCTGCCTTTGTGCAACTTCTGAGAAAGAGTGGGGGGGGGGGGCGGGGAGAGACAGAGAGACAGAGAGAGAACAACGTAACAAATAACTAAACTATACACTATGTTAGCCAGGGAAGAAATACAGTGTAAGAAGCAGAGTACCGGGAGATAAGAACTGGGGGGGGGGGTTGTCAGGCTGCAGTGTTTACTTGGGGTAAGATCAAGATGGGGGTCACTGAGGTGAACTCCGAGCAAGGTCTCCAAGGAGGGAAAGCATCTTCTACAGAAGATGTCTAGGGAAGGAACACTGCAGGAAGTTGGGACAAGTAGAGCAGAAGACAAGAGGTTTGTGTGTGCGGGACGAGCGGATCATTTCTGGCATGCTTGGAGGAGCAGCGAGGGCACACAGTAGGAACCGGCGATGGAAGTCATATACAGCCGTTCCTGCAGTCCTTGTAGGTTATTGTGACTTTCACTGAAGTGACAAAAGAGGTCATTGGATGGTCTGGGTTAGAAGAGCACCATTTTAAGTGGGTTGTTCCAATTGCTGCGAGGAGAACGTACTTGAGGAGAGGAGGGTGACCAGAGAACAGGTACTACTGGCTCAGCCCTGGAAGGCGGCAGCAGAAGTGAGGGAGGTTACGCTGCATTCTGTCTAAGGTGAATCCCATGATACACTGATGTGGGGCTGCGGGAGAAATCAAGACGAGATGACTCCAGGGTTCTTACATGAGCAGCTAGAGGGGTCAGCCGAGTTGGGGGGAAGGCTGTGTGACGAGCAGGCCTGGATACATGAGGTTTCGGTTTCAAGTGGAGAGGGCAAGTTGACTGGCGTCTGGGTCAGAAGAAAGGTCTGGATTGAAGATTTGCAGCTGACAGAGCCCCTTACTTAAAGCCACGTAGATAGACGATAGGGTCAGTTAGGGAACCTGGAGACAGGGAATGAGGCAGGCTAAGGGCTGCTATCTAGACCGGGTTTCCCAGTGGTAGGCCCTCTCAGAATGGGCTCACCAGCCCCATCTAGAGGGTCGTGCCTGCAGGAGGTGCTTTGGATATTAACTGTGACAGCGGGTGTCGGAGAGAAGTGCTTCATAGCTCCCCGCTAGGGTGGCAGAAATAATTAAGTAGGTAAAGGTACACTGGCAGCACACGTGCTCGCCTGCCCCCAAGGAGGGAGCAAACCTGGCTGTATTAATCTGTTCAGACATCTGGGCACCACCGCTGCCTTGCCCACGAGGCTCCGCCTCTTGGGCTCTTTCTCTCTCCCCGCCCATCTGCCCATCCTCGCCTGTATGTGTCACTTCTACAACCGCTCTGATTGTAATTGATCAACAGAATCACGGCTCATTTTGCTGTTTCGTTCGGTCGATGTGAAAGAGGCCGGGAGTTGGGCACATTGTATTCCGTGTTCCCGGGATTCCCCTCCCAGGCCTTGCTGGCGTGGCGGTGGCCCCCCCAAGGGACGCGAGGGAGCCGCGGGGGGCCTCGGGAGGGTGGGGGTCTGCAGGCCGAGGCCCGGCTCCTGGAGGTGTGTCCGTTCCCGGGCTCGCTCCCCGCCGTCTCGCAGCCAGGGCTTCTCGCGTGGCGCCGCCGCTCCACTCGGGCTCCGGTCCCCGCCGCGCGCCGCCGCCACATCTGGAAGCGTTCAGCGCGTCTGCTCCGGCGCGCCGGGCGGGCGGGCGGGCGGGCGCGGGCAGGGGCGGGCGCGGGCGCGGCGGGGCTGGAGGGAGGAGGGAGGCCGCGCCGCGCTCTCGCGCCCGGTGTCTCCCTCTCGCTGCCTCTGCAGAAACAGCTCCCTGCCAGAACGGCGCTCGGCGCGGCGCGGCCCGGAGCGGCGGCGGCGCTTCCCGCGGGCTCGCCCTCAGGTGTTCGCGGCTGCCGTCGCCGAAGAACGCGGGTCGGGGCCTCTGGGCGATCGCCCTGGGCGGGCCGGAGACGCCTCGGCCCCCTGGCGGCTCGGGGTCCACCCAGCGCCGCGGGCCCGCCGCTCTCCCTCGCCTCGCCTTTGCGCCTCTTCTCGCTCTGCCTCTCCATTTATTATTATTTTTTTCAAATGGTGTAGCCGCCAGAGGTGCGGTGCTAAATTCTTGGAAGGGGCCCGGATGTACTGAGGATGCATTACAATCTCACGAAAGGAGGCGGTAGTGGAAAGCAGCAGTTTTTGGTGTTTGGTGCAATAATGGGGATCAGGTAATCACCCGAAGGGAGCAAGAAACACTGCGGATCCACGGCTTCCTCGGTTTGCGCGAAAGCCGCCGGCCTCGGAGGAGGGATTCATCCAGACCCGCTCGCGGCTGTTGCTGCATTTCTTCCTCTTTGTGGCTTCTCCCTTCCAAGCAGTTTTTGGCCAATGGTCAATGAAAACACGAGGATGTACGTTCCAGAGGAAAACCACCAAGGTAAGCGAGACCCCATCGCCGCACCCGGCTCGCCCGGGCTGCCCACGGCGGGCCCCTGTGGAGCGGCCCGCGCCGCGTGCGCGAGGGGCGCCAACGCCGTGCGCGGGAGCCCGCGGGAGCCGGCCGAGCCGCCGTGCGAGCCGGAGCGGAAAATTCCCGCCCCTCCCCCTCCGCGGCCGGGCTGCTTCGGAGCATGTGGTTCCCATGAAATCCCGGGCGAGGGGGAAAGTTCCCCAAGTGTCGGCGCTGCCTGGATTTCTCGCCTTTGCCTCGAAAGCTGGCTGGCCGGCCGGCCGCCCGGCCGGGCCACGGCAAGCTGGGGAGCGGCTGCTTCGGGGTCCCTCGCTCTACCGGGGCGCGGTAGGGAACGCGCGCGCGCGCGCGCGCGCACCCCGCGGAGAGCAGTCCCGCGCCGGTGGCCCCCAGGCTGCCCCGCGTCCACTCTTCCCGGAGCCACTTCCTCGGGCCGTGCGCTCCGGGTCGCGGGTGGGGGCGGGGGCGGGGGCTGCAGCTGTGCGGCTCAGCGCGCCTCCTCTCTCTCCATCTCTGCTCCTCGGCTTCTCAACACCGCCCACCTCTCCACTGCCGTTGACCCCGAGTGAGCGAGCCCACGCCAGGTGTGTTATTGTTGACACTCCCGTGTGGACTCGCACCTGAGGATGGAAGCGGCTAGGAGCCCAGTGATGTGTGGGCTTTGCTTTTTCATGTTTTCAGAGAATCATGAAAGGGTGTGACTAGCTCCCGAGGCTCCATACTTAGTGTTCTCTAAGCATCTCCATGCTGGGCATCAAGTGTCTCCAGCTCCCCCTCTGATGGTGAAAGGCTTTCAGGTAACTCCCCACTTCCTGGAAACTTTCTCCCTCTCCTCCTCAGTCCCTATCGACAAGTTATTTTCTGACATTGCTCAGTGATTAAGGTGATCAAGCTGAAGTGTCTTGTAGTCTCAGGATGCCCTTTCTACAGGCTCTCTACCTCTTTTACCGGCCCCTCTCTCTTTTTGCCCTCAGCAGCTCCCATCACTCTTCCACATTGTGTCTTCCCTTGCCTTGCCAGGGTACTACTTCCTCGTGACTCTCCAGAGCCCAGCCTTGTAGAAGGAGTCCCAGGCCGCAGCCCCTTCCTCCTTTCGCCCTATCCTCACTAACTGGGGACAGAGCCATTGCCTTGGCGGATTAGGGCTGCTGGGGAGCTGCTTTACTGTCTGGTCTTCCTCCATCCAAAAGCTGATTTGGGGCCCCGCTCTTTCTGCTTCCCATCTTGGGTGGCAACGTTGGGATTTTGGCCTCCTTAAGAAGTCTTTTCAAGGGTCATGGATACTGGTCTTTCATGCCCTAAGGGCAACCCTTGTCTCTGAAGTACCTACCCTCTCTTCTTTCATGTGCCCTCGAATCCCTTTCCTAGCTGATGGAGTTCTGGATGAATTAGGAGGAGGACAGAATGAGACATAAAAGAAAGGGTGATATTTTTGAAGAGTGGGGGTGGGCTAGATCTCTCAGGTTCTGTCCATGTCCTCAGTCTAAGCAACTTGGCAGAGAACTCGGTAGTGTTGTCCTAGCTGTGACTACCGAGGGCAAGGCGTCTTTGGAAAACAGGTATGCCCATAGTTTGCAGGGGCGCCTGGTAGTGTAGGATAACCCCCTTCCTAGCTTACTTCCTTACTCTGCTTCTTTTCTTTGGCCACTTGGCCTCTCAGCATCGTCCCCAGGCCCCTTGCAGGGAGCCGGCATTAAATACGGCAGCACCAACCCTACAGGTTCTGGAGAAGGGTGGAGGGGAAGTGGAGGGAGCCTTGGCCAGGAACTCTACCTTTCCAGCAGGAAGCCCGCAAACACTATAGCAACCTGGATGGTACTCTCCCTCAGAGCTGCAGTGGTTACATAATTCACAGGAGCACTTTCGCCTCCATCCCTAGATGCGGTTCTTAGGTAAAAGAGCACCAGGGTCCTTGTCCCCCCTAGGCTCCCACCTTCTTTTCGTTGATTGGCTGGGCTTTTGAGGAGGGTTGGGGAAGGGGGTAGAGGTGGGAAGAACAGGCCTGGAGGAGTGTGAATATTTACAAGAAAGAAGTGGCTGGCTTAGTAACTCATGGGTGATGAAACATAGTTGGGGTCTAGAGTTTCAGAAGGCAGAGAGAAGAGGAGCCAAGCGATGACCTCAGAGCAGCAGCGGTGACCAATCAGAGTGCAGAAGCAGAGAAGTTGCCAGGTGGCTGTATTCTTCTCTCCTGACTGGCTTGAAAGGACTGAATGTGCCTCCTTCCTGAAGAAGCTTTTCAGTGGTGTGTGTGCACAGTGGTGTGTGTGTGTGTGTGTGTGTGTGTGTGTGTGTGTGGTTCACACTGTGGAGGTCAGAGGCCAGCACCTTGAAATAACCTGGAAGCACAGGAAGGGAAGGGCCCTGCCCTCAGGCTTCAGACTGGAGGTTGGATCCCCAAGCTGTGCCTCACTTCTGGTGCCCTATCAGCTCTGGTCGCATTCCAGCCTTCCGCTTTTCTGGACTGATTATCTGGTGCAGGCTCAGCTAGCACGGGAATTTCTTAATAGTCAACCATTTGGCACAAAAACATCAGAATGTCCCCTATCTGCTGAGACAAGGCAGAGGGGAGGGGGAAACACACTGTGCTTCTCTTTTACACGACTTAGCCCTACGAGAGAATAGCAATTACTTAAAATAAAGTAATAATATAACGATCGCAGTTAACTCTTTTCAAATGGTCTGAGAGCTGCACGGCTTGCCCCTCAGCTTGTGACTGTTAGAAGAAGGCTTGACATCAATTTCTCTTTCTCTGCAAGTTACAGGGAGGAAGCTGGAGAAAGGGGGCTTTTTTTGAGTTCCAAATGCTGTTCCTGGGAATGGTTGGGTGCTTTTCAACATACTAACACAGTGTAAGAGAATCAATGATTACTTATTTCCATAGAATACATGTAATGATGGTTAACAGATTACATAGGACTTAATGCACCTCACGCTGGGTGTTATGCAAAGGAATGTTGACTATACAGTCTCCTAAAATGGTGTGTGTGTGTGTGTGTGTGTGTGTGTGTGTGTGTGTGTGTGTATTAATTTAAATCTCCTATTAAGTAGAGACTCATTCTGGGAGAGCAGATGCCGCAGGATAACAGTGCTTTGTCAACATAGTGGTGAGCCACTGGAGCGCCCCTCCTTCCCCCCACTATCTCTTAGAGTCTTGGAAAAGATTTAGGTTTCATTAAATTGCCTCTTCTACCCAAGACTGCTTTGGGTGGGCTCTTCCATGAATAGGATATACTAAAGGAACCCAAGGGGATACCAAATAGAGGTGTTTGAAGCCTTGCTGATCTTTGTATTCTACTTTATAGTATAAGTAGGAGCTCATAGCAAGGCAAGGGCTTGGATGCACAATTGACTATAATCTTGCAGAACAGACTCTTCAGGACTAACAGTAGATCTGACTTCTGCCTCCCCCAGTAGGTGGCACTACAGGGCTTAGGAGTCAGGCCATGGTCTCCAGGGCCATGGAACTAAGGAAAGACATTGGGAAGATGGAGAACCTGTTCCCTCATGGCCTGGTGCAGAGTACCTTAAAGACCAGCATGTGTCTCCATGGCACTATTCACCTGAGGCCTTGCAGAATGAAGGAGCCCCCCCCTCCCCAGCCTTCCATGGAGCTTCCCCTTTGGATTGCTTGGCTACATTGCACTTTCTTACCTCAGACTCCTGTTTACCCTGGATATGGACAATGTCCCACAGAGCCTTGAGGGAGCCTTTGGATGGGCAGCTGGCCACATGCTGATTTCCTTCATGATTTGAAAGGGATAGTTTTAAAACTAGTGGGCCCAAGGTCCCCAAGCTAGACAAGCCAGAGGCAACCTGAAGTTGGGAACTTGGGGATGCTGACCTGTTTTCATCAGAGGCTCCACAGCATTTTCTTAACTTTGTTAGGGGGAGAACTAAGACAGCGGTGAGCACATTTCACAGATAATTTCTGCCTCAACCGTCTCCTGCAGGTTGGTGGCAGGAAGGATCTAGAGACCTAGGTAGGAAGTCCCTGAGGTCCATTCTGATGTTCAGTGTTGTTTTCCATCTCTTGACGTTCTTGTCTCTAGTTCTGCTGCCCCTGGTTTTCGAGTTGTTCTGGCAGATTCTGTGAGACCTGAGGAGCCTGGCTCAGAGAGCATGAGAGTGGCTGGTGGGGTGGTGCTCTCTTCCTGGTGTTCCAGCTCTGGGGGATGCAGGGGTTACTGGCCAGCAGGCAGCCATACCACCTCTTTCTTGCCATCTCCCGAAAAATGAAGATGAGTTTACTTCAGTGCCCACTAAAGCAAGCCCATGGCCTGCTGGGGAAACATGGCCTGAAGACATTAGCAACAAGACTGATTAGCAAAACAATCAGTTTAGTCTGATTTTAGATTCTGTCTTCTCTGTTGCTTAAGTCAATGTTGGGCACTGTAGAGGATAGCATAACTGAATTTTTTGAAAAAAGGCATGGGGAATTGTTTAGCGAAATATCAGGCGCTAAATACTTAGCAACATGCTAAACATTCTGCTAATGAAATGACATTTGGAGTCATGGCTATCAGCATTGAAATAATTTAGTAAACACTTGTTTACTGTTCCTCAAGGTTAGGTAGTGAATAAAATAAGGAGTGACAGGACAGTGACAGAATCCCTCAGGGAAAATGAGACGTTTTTAGTGCCATTTCAAAGCTCAGTGCTTAAGCTGCAGCTAGGCCTCTTGCAGACAGAGCCAAACAGAGGGTGGACCCAGAGGTCTGTGGAGCTGAAACCTGTGTGTTTGATGGACAGTCGGCTGCACTTTGCCCCTGCTTTGCTGATCACATGCAAATGCATGTCAGGAGACCTCAGCGGACCAGAGCTGCTTCCACAGCTTGGAAACTCTCGGAGGCAGTCGCTTGTCATGGCAACAAGTGAAGTGGAACGGACTCTGTGTTGTCCCCATTTCTCTGCTGAATATGGGGCCCTGGGGACGTTCCAGGGCTTTGCTTATGTTCTCAATGTGT